GTGATGCTGTTTCGGAGGCTGAAGCGTTTGCTCGCGAGGTCTTGTACGAGGAGTGGGAGGTCACGTCGGAGATCGTTGAGGAGCTGTTCGAGCTACTTCCAGGAGATCCTCCACCTCGAAAGTGTGAAGAGAGACCAGGTGAGGATATGGAAGAAGAAAAGGCCTGGTCGTCGGGGGCGTTCATCCGGGGAGGCATTGGTGGTCTTCGAGCCAACACCCGGAAGTTCCCGTATGTCACCAGGGTGATCAATCGCTTCATCGAGAACCGCACTGCTCACTTGGACAGCAGGTGGAATTCCTTCGTGATCTTCAAGAACTCGAAGACGGTGATGCATCGTGATTCCCACAATTCCAAGCATCAGCCATCGTACCTGGTGCCAATTTCTCAGTTCACAAAGGGAGGTTTGTGGGTTGAAGGAGTGCCCGAAGGTGAAACCCCAGTGGAGCTGAAGGAGAAGTTGGGCCACATCAAGGAGTTTGTGGACGATGGTAGTGGGAGACAACCAATTGTGTTTCTTCCGAGGAAGTGGCACGCTACCCAGGAGTGGGAAGGCAATCGGCTGGTGGTGGCGGCGTACTCCATCAGGGACTTCCACCGGGTGAAGAGTGATGAGCAAGAGGTGCTGAATGATTTGGGCTTCGTCACAGCGGAGGAAGTCATGGATGAGGAGGCAACGGGTGATTCGGGAGATCAACGTTGCTTCCAAGTACCTCAACACGCTACTGGGTCTGGTGGTGACGGGCAGCAGCAGGTTCGGTTGAGACCAATGCGAATGACTACTGACGTCAACGTCCTGGCAGCGTACTTGGAAGGGCATGAGGTTGAGCCGTTCACGGTGAATTGGCGAATGGACTCATTGCCGACTGAAAGGCAAGTGTTCCAGGCTGCTAGGAAGGAGGATCTGGCCTATCAGTTCTGGAAGCAAAAGGATCGCTTGGAGCTCATCTTGTCGGAGGATGCTGAGCCGGTGCTGGAGAGGAGAGTCACCGAGCAGGTGATTGGATCACCTCGGTATCGGTTGATCTACATGGCGACGGTCACCATGGTGTGGAATGGCCCCGGTGGTACTTCGGCAATCTTTGGGTACTACGTGGAGTCTAGGAGAGACACCAAGTACCTCTATGTGAGCTGGGTTGAGGCCACGCGGGAAGAGTACATCCACGAGAGCGAGATGACTCGAGCGTTGCAAGAACTGCCACCACGGGGGGCAGCTACTACGGTTCCTGCAGGTCCAGCGAGAGCGGGAGCTATCATGTCCCACTATACCACTTTCACGGTGAATCCAAGGGAGAGGTCTAGATCGAGAGATCAGGAACCGAGAGATCCCAGCAGTTCGGTTCGCTTGAACAAGTTCACGGGACCGAATCCTCATGCCTTACCACTTCAGCTGGTGAATCGAAGGATGGAACTGATCACCAGGTTTGTGAGGCTTCAAGAGGATGAGTACGAACGATGGGAAGCGGACGTTCACAGCGGGCAAGAGGTGATTGATGCTTTTCGTGGACAGTGGAGAGAGATTCTGCCCGTGGATGACACCGTAGATGAGGTGGTGCCAATGTTGGTGTACAACAGCATGGAAGATTGGGAGACTGAGCCTGAGGTCTACATGGTCACGGAGGACGGATTCCGAAGGCATTTGGTCACTATCATGGATGTGCAGGAGTTTCCGGTGGTGGACCCCACGCCTGAGAACACGTTGGACTGGGAGGAGTTGGTGGTCGTCCAGGTGTACAACATGTTCCTTGGAAGGGTGGAGTATCTCCTGTACTGGGACCGAAGGGTGGTGGTGGAAGAGGCACCATTGCCGGCGTTGCCATGGATGGGACGTAGGGACCCTCCTGCACAAGATGATCGTGAACCTCGCTTGGCACCAATGAGGGTGGAAACCGCGAGGGAGAACAAGCTCATCGTCGACGACATGATGTTGTTCGAGGAGGTTGAGTTTCAGGAGCTGGGCGAGCCAGAGGAATCCTGGATGGAGCCTATGCTGAGGAAGGCTACCTCTGAGGGCCTTTACACCCCAGGGATTGAAGCGTTGCTGAACGACTTGAAGGAGGACGAGGTGCTTCAGGTCGTGCACACCGTTGACCCGAAGGAGGCGAGTGAGGCGATTGAAAAGTGGAAAAAGCCTATGGCCAAGGAGGTCGACTCGATGGTGGGCATGAACGCTATCCACAAGATTTGGGGTGAAGATGTGAGACGTTTCCGGGCCGATCCAAATTCAGTGGTGGTGCCGTCCAAACTCGTGTACACAGTGAAGCCTCCTACAAGGCCTGAGGAGGGGAAGTACCGACGTCGAGTGCGGGCGGTGGCTTGTGGAAACTTCGCCAATGAGGGCCTGGAGGTGGGTGATCTGTATGCGGCAGGAGCTACAATCGATGGAGTTCGGATTGTGGTCGCTGAAGCCAGTGCCAACAAGTGGAGCATTGGGACGGATGACGTGAAGAACGCCTTCTTGGCTGCACCACTACCAGCGGGTCGTGGGTATGCAATGGAGCCTCCCCGGGCAGCGATCAGAGCTGGCCTGGCCGAGGAGGGGGAGCTGTGGGTCGTGGACGCTGCAGTTTATGGTTTCAAGAAATCGCCAAAGTGGTGGACGGACCATCGCAACTCAAAGGCAAGGCTTGCAACGTGGAAGGACGATGATGGGAAGCCGGTGAAGTTGGAAGGCTGCTTGACGGACGTCAACCTCTACAAGGTCCTGAAGGAAGAGAAGCCTGGAACGTGGACTTTGACGGGCTTGGTGGTCTTCTATGTGGACGACGTCTTGGCGGCTGGGCCGGATTCCATCTTGCGAGGGTTCTTCGGATGGTTGGGCAGTCAATGGGAGACCAATGGCTTGGTGGAGCGAGGAAAACCTGTCCGGTTTCTGGGCCTGGAGATTAGCATGCTGGACGATGGGACCTACTGTGTGGGCCAGCAGGGCTACCTTCAGGAGTTGGTCCGAAGCCGGGAAGTAAAGTCCTTCAGCAAGCTGCCAATGGCGAGGGAAATCCCAGAAGGGAGCGCTACGGATGAGCAGGATCCGAGCATGGTGAAAGAGGCACAGCAGCGGTGTGGAGAGCTGTTGTGGGCTTCCCAACGTGGGCGGCCGGATTTGGCATTCCCAATGGCAGTGATGTCCTCGTTGGTCACGAGAAATGCAGGGGAGGCTGTGAAGATGGGCAAAAAGATGGTGGCCTATCTCAACAGCACCGTCAACAAGAAGTTCTTCTTGCCGGGCCCGGACCACGAGCATGCCAACGACTTGGTCCTGTTCACGGACGCCAGCTTCGCTCCCACTGCTGCTCAAAGTTACTCAGGGGCTGTTGTCTTTTGGAGGGGTCATCCGATCCTTTGGAAGGCTTCGAAGCAATCACTGACCGCTTTGTCGAGTGCCGAGGCGGAGGTGATTGCAGTGTCCGACGGAGTGGCTTTGCTTCGAGCGGTGAGGTCGGCGTTGGAAGACTTGGGGTTGAAGCCGGCACGGACCATCGTGAAGGTGGATTCCACAGCTGCGATTGGAGTTCTGACTGGGGAGGGATCGTGGAGGACGAGACACCTCAAACTCCGACATCACTGGATCCGGGAGATGATCGCCACGGGCCAGATCGAGTTGGAGCACCAGCCAGGACAGGGACAGCTCGCAGACGTTTTGACAAAACAAGTGCCCCAGGCGAGGCTTCAGGAGGTCTTCGACGAGTGGAGTTTGCGAGATGGGCCCCCTGAGCTTCGTGTACTACGTGGACAGAAGCAGGTCAAGTTCGAAACCACGGCGGTCGACAGCAGTCTTGAAGCAACAGCAGTCAACAGCAGTCGTGAACCCGCAGCAGCAGCAGTCAGCAGTAGCAACAGCAGGACGCTAGAAGCAGGGGTGAAGTTCCAGGCTGATTGGGCGTTGAAGTTAGCTACGATGTGCTCTATGGTGTGTGGGGTTAAGGGTGACGCGACGACTTCTGTGCAGCTGAAAGAAGCTCTGGCTTCAGACTGGGAAATGTGGCTGGTGGTCTTGATACTGGTTACAGCTGTGGTGGCTGTGTGGGAATGCTTGAAGGGCTCTACAAAGAAGGTTGTGAGCTTGAAGGCGATGAGATCTGGAGAAAAGGCCGAACACCGTGAAGTGTTGGCGTTGCTGGCCAAGGCAAGGAGCCTGGAAGAAGAAGAGAGGCTTCGTCATTTGGCTGCGAAGTATTTTCCAGAGCGTCGTGAAGCTGGACCCTCGACATCAGTGCAGGTGAGAGATGGGGTGACCTCAGTGCGTGTGGGTGGTTTGGGCGAACCTGGTGGAGTTGGACCGAGGGCAAGCAGTGCTCCGGCCAATCGAGTGGTTGCCGTGGATCCTACAGCCCTATTTCCTGAACGTCCTGTACGAAGAGACATTGGGGTTCAGACGCAGGAGATGCTACCGGCTTCGACGCCGACAGTGGTGCAGGTTCCGTTCGATGGGGTCTTGTACCATGGTCCGGGAGGAGATTGCTACCACTGGCATCGTGGATGTTGGGGTCTTCGCAATGTGGACCAGGTGTCGCAGAGGACGCTGTGCAGATGCTGTCGAGAAGCCGGTGGACAGTCGCTATATGGGCATGGTGGGCAACAGCGAAGCTTGAGACCTACCAGAACGGGCTGAATGGGCTTGCGAGAAGAGCGAGCTTGTTGGGCCGTGGCGTGGAAGTTGGACGTTGGCCGTGTGAGAAAGGAGGCCAAAGGTTCGACAGAAGATGGTGTATAGGGCCATTGGCCAGTCTTGAGGACCCACCGCTTGGAGAGCATGGGTACCTATGGCAGTCAGTTGGATTGCCAAAACGCCTTGTGAGCCTACCTTGACAGGTGGCTCAAGGAGGGGTGATGAAAGGTGTGGAATGAGATGCACCTGTTGCTTTGGCTTTGTGGTTCCAGGACATGCCGTAGGCAAAGTCGGAACAAGAAGCAGTTGCAGCACAGACATGCAGGCAACAGGTCGCATGTGCCTTTGTGTGTGTTGTTGTGGCGTGTTGTGTGGTCGCCCTTTCTGTGGTAGGGTAGGACCGCTCGACTGGCCGATGGACTTCGGTGCTGCAGTGTGAGGAAAAGTGGCCTCTGGTGGTGAAGCGGTGTTCGTACAAGGAGTACAAGCCGAGCCAGAGCCAAGCACAAGCCTCCAAGCTGCCATGTCGTTTGCTGGACCTCAAGAGCCCCGCGCTCTTGATAGGGGTTTAGGGGTTTAGGGGTTTAGGGGTTTAGGGTTGAAGGGTTGAAGGGTTGAGGGTTTGTAGACCCCCGTGCAAAAGCCCTAGTAGACAGCGAGGTTCAAGTGCATGCTTCGCTACGTGCACCATTTGGACCCTCTCATTTCGCCGGACAATGCGCTCCGCCATGATTGCTTCTTTGTAACCCTAGGAGCCGGAGTAGGCCCTTTTTTTCCCTTTTTTAGGGTTGGGGTTCCCTTATGACCCCCTCAAAATTTCAAAACCAAAAAGGGGCACACTGTTTATTCCTGGGTTACTCCTGGGTCTGGAATCCCTAAAGAAGCCTCAGCCTCAGAGCTTCGACGCCTGTGGTGCTGGAAGGTTTGATGGCAGAGGTACCGATGACCACAAAAGAGAGCAGGGCGCCCATCCTAAACTCTATAGTATTTCTGCAATCAAAGATGTCGGAAGCTGACGGTCTTTTGGGGGTGCGGTCTTCGTGCTTGGAGGGAAAGGCCGGTTCTTGCTGTGGACGGGCTGGCTTATCTGGCAAGGTTCGGCCTTGCTTGGTGTTTCGATTCCCCGAGTCCTGCGGCTGGGGGTAGTTTCAAGCCATTGCATACCCCTGCTCCGAAAGTCTTGCAACGGCCTTTTGCCCCATACCCCCAAAGTTCTCCCGAACCCTGAAGGCCCTGAAGCCTTCATCACGGTCTCAGAACACAAGCAGCCACGGCCAGGCCCTTCAAGTGTACCGGGCTGCGGACAAGTACCAGATGGACGGGCTGCCTCTGGGCCTCAAGTTGTGGAATTTCAGAAAGCAGCTCACAAAGCCTTCCGGCGTTCTTGGTTGCATATAGGCCTATAGGTTCGAGAGTGGATTCACCCATTTCGACCTTTTTTATAATTAGCCCATGATGAAATGGCAAGATGAGGCTCGAAGCGTGCGGCTCCTTCATCGAAGAGAACACCAATCCTGGCAACGTCACGCAGGCGCGCAATGACAGACTTTGGCTGGGACATGTTGCCCTCGCAGCCGAAGAATGCCGGCCCCCCCTCCCCTGCATCACGGAGCATGTCTGCCTCGATGTAGACACCGTAGATGCCGTAGACCACCATGTCGTGGCCACACCTTCTTTGATTACCTCACGCGTTGGCCGATCTTAAGAGGTCAATACCCTGCAGCCCCCCCCCCCCCCCCGCCCCACAAAAAACAAAATCAAAACAAGGAAAAGCCTAAACCAAGGTCCCTTCACAAGAAGACCCCCCGAAGCCTGAAACTCTCCAAAAGAAAGAATACAGTCTGAAATTCTCCAACAGAAAGAATACAGTCAGTGTGCGTGTGTGCGTACGCGCGCGTGCGTGCGTGCTGGGAGGGGGGAGAGAAAACACTCCCAAGCCCTTAAACCCCCAACTCCGAATGCACTGCAGGTCTTGAGGCTCTTCGACATGTCCTGCCGTTTGGGACTTGACAGGCCCGCTCATGCAGCCATGCGAGACCTGTATTTTTGGGGGCCGGAATAATGACTAATTAATAGTTTCCTTCCTGTTATATGGTCCCTTTACAAATATACTACAAGGACCCCCCCCCCACAAAAAAAAATGAAAATAAATAAATAAGGCGCCTGCAGCAGGCGGGCCGTCGAAGAATGTTTCCTTGGTGTTGTGGAAGCCGCTCGTTGCTTTGATGGGTTGAGGAAGCTTGGACGTATCGAAGTGTAGATGACCTTTCATTTTGAGTTTTCTGTCCCGCAGCCGGCATATGAAGAGTCCGGTTCGGATGCAATGCATACGCGCGGTTCTCTCTAAACCCTAAACCCTAAATCCTCGGTTCTCGGTGGGGCTTGATATAGCTTGACGCAGCTGTCACTTCGTTGCTCCGAGTAACTGTGGTCTTTTCGGGACTAGGCTCGTTAACTCAGCAGCTTTGCCTAGCAACGGAACCTCCAAGCCTGAACCCTACAACCCCTAAAACCCGAAACCTGAAACCTTAGCGCGAGTGCAGGTCGGGTTACCCTAAACCCTAAACCCTGAACCCTGAACCCTGAACCCTGAACCCTGAACCTACAAAAACCGCAAAGAGAGGTACTCCAAACACTTCCTGGAGCTCCTCGGTGGGCTCTCTCGGGTGCACACGCGGCAGGCCGACACCAGGGTGGGAGGAGACGAAAGGCTTCAAGCAACCCTAAACCCTAAACCCTAAACCCTAAACCCCAAACCCCAAACCCCAAACCCCAAACCCCAAACCCCAAACCCTAAACCCCATAAACCCTAAACCCTACACCCTAAACCGTCAGGTGCTCCAAGCGCGTGACTTTCTGCACTTGCACACGGTGCTCGGGCCCTAGAAGCCCGGGCAAATATCACTCTTGGGTTTAGGGGTTAGGGTTTCGGGTTTTGGGTTTAGGGTTTAGGGTTTCGGGTGGTGGCAGTCGATTACAGTCCAGTTGCAAAAAAGAAGGGAGTTCGGGTTCCCAAACCTTTCAAGCCTCAGGTGCTAGCTGCAAGATTATTTTTTTGGAGGCACAGGGCGGGGGGGGCCAACAACTGCGGAGTAGTGAAGTGCGTGATCTTTCCTGCTGAGCACTCCAAGTCCTTCCTTCTTGTCTTCTTTTTGTGTGTGGCGGGGGGGGGGGGGGAGGTTCCCTGTCGAGACTTGGCAGGATCCTTGGGCGCTTCCACCCATAGGTATACTTAAAAGACTGTAATATTGGGAGGAGGGATTCGGGCTTTAGGTGAGGTGGTTGAGCGAGGGATGCTTGCTTTTTTTTCTCAGGGGCGGGGGGGAGGGGGGGGGTGCCGGGGAGGGTGGGCGAAACGATCCGCAAACGACCCAAGGTCTCTTGCTACCCTCCTCAGTTTCGACGGGCTTTGCGTCAATGAGGCCTTCAGGGTGTAAGTCTAATTTTCCTCATGGCGGCTTGAGGGCTCATGTTTCGGTCGGGAGAGTTTCCAGGAACGGACCAGAAAGAGGTACTGTGCTTGGAGGTTCATGGGGACTTATATTGTGGGGGTTGTGCCATAGCCAATGATAGCTGTAAGTACCTTCATCATCACCCTACTTACAAGTACCCATGAGCCTCCATCCGGTAAGGGGTCTGTACATGCGCGCGCGGTGCATTTTTTTGGGATGTGTATTGTCTCGGTCCGTTATACCTTTGAATGACAATATCCCGTTGTAACTTGTGAGTCGGCTCTTTTCTAGGCAGGCCCGTGGGACATATTACATAGTCCCTTATTGCTTATTGGGTTTAAGGAGATGAGACTTGCAACTCAAAACCACGGAGCTGGTATTGTTTCAGGAGGGGCCGAATGTATTTTCTATCGGCTATCAAGAACTTTTTTTTTTTTGGGGGGGGTACTTGGAAATATTGTTTGAACTTGTGGGTACTATAATTCCAAAGAAACAGCAAAAAAAAACATACACATATATATATATATATATATATAGGTATATATATATATATAGGTATATATATATATATATATATATTTATTTATTTATTTATGTTTTATTTTTATTTGTTTATTCAATTTTTGCTGGGGTTCCAAGTGCAGCATAGGAGTTGAACGGTTGAGACCCAAACAAGGCATCCTGGACTCGACAGCCATTTGCGATCTCATTCAGTGGCGACCCCCCATAAGATTTCAGAAATCCTGGAGAGTCATTGATTGCAGCGTGTCCCCGCGGCCCTGCGGTAAGATGCTAAGGGCTGATTTTTGAGGTTGTGGAGGCTTCAGTAAGGAGTTCAGGCAGTTCCGGGTTTGGGTTTTCGGCTTAGAGCTTAGATGACTTCAGGGGTTTTACCGTTACCGTGTTTTACCCTCAAGTCGTCGAAAGCCCCAAGCCCTAAAACCCCAATCCCTTACAGCAAGCCCTCAACCCATATAAATCCCGAAGCCCAAGAGACCCGAAACCCTGCTGCTCGACTTGCCCGCCTGTGGAAGACGCCGGGGTTTAGGGTTTAGGGTTTAGGGTTTAGGGTTTATCGAGGCGAATCTCGCTCCTCGATGTGCCATTTTTCTTACATGGGTCCTTAGCTGGCAATCCGGGAATCAGGTACCCTACACACCGTACACGTGGTTGCCCTTCCCCCCTCCACCCCCGCCTCTTTTTAGGAAGGTACCCCCCACCCCGGGTGGTGTGGTTGTGGGTCGGTTTTAGGGTTTGGGTTTCGGGTGAGGGTTTAGCATTAGGGTTGAGGGTCTGGGGGCTCTTTTTTAGGGTTCAGAGTGCAAATTACCAACTTAGTAGCTGAGTCCTTTCGTTTTTTTGGGGTACATGCATGCATGTATATATATATATATATATAGCCCAGGGTGCTCAGCAACTATGAACCTAAACCCTAAACCCTAAACCCTAAACCCTAAACCCTAAACCCTAAACCCTATAAACCCTAAACCCCCAATGTGGCCCCCAAAGTACCCCAAAGTGCCAGGAGCGCTTGTGGAAGGCGCTGCGAGCGTGGGCGGAGCTCCGAGCGTCGGTAGCCACGGTGAGGGATTAGGGTTTAGGGTTTAGGGTTTAGGGTTTACGGTATAGGGTTTAGAGTTTAGGGTTCCACGGTGAGGAATTTCAGGGGCTTCGATAGGGGGTGTAGGTTTAGGGTTTATAGGGTTTATAGGGTTTATTGGGGTTTTTTTCGGGTTTATAGGTTTTTTGTTGCGGTTCATAGGGTTTCAGGGTTTACAGGGTTTGTAGGGTTAATAGGGTTAATAGGGTTTAGGGGTTTGCGGTTTAGGGTTTAGGGGTAAGGGGTTAGGGTTTTAGGGTTTAGTGTTTAGGGTTAAGGGTGTTAGGATAGGGGTGCAGGGTAGGTTCTTGCCATAAGGCCCGTTATCGGATTCTTAGGTAAGCTACCCAAAAAAAAGTAGGGGTTCTCAAGGTTGGATTTAGGGTGTGGGGGGCGGGGGGGGGGGGGGGGGTGGTTGATGCTGGTTTAGTAGCGGTTTAGGGTTTAGGGGTTCATGGTTGGGGGTTCAGGGTTTAGGGGGGTTTAAGTAATGGGGTGTGTGGCATGGTTGAAGAAGCCATTTAACCTAAGCCCTTTGCCACCCGGCAAGTGACACCGGTCAGCTGGGCGGGTGGCGACAGAACCCCTAACAAAGAGACGAACCCGAGAAGAATCCGTGCCTGCTTGTGCGAGTGCGAGAGGCGAACCCCCCCCCCCACCCAGCCCTAAGCCTTAGTAGTAGAGTAGATAACCTTTAACCTTTTTGGGTTAATATATTCCCCTTATAATCCCAAAGGTTAACCTTTAAAACCCCTAGGTACTGGACAACTAAGAAGCCCTATACTCTGCACGTCTAAAGGCAGTCTGAAGACCCTCGCCAATTCCTGGGACTTGGGATGTTCACCCTTATACTAACAGTCCTTAGCAGCGATTGGAATACCCCCTACTAGAATCCCTATTCAGGAGCTGTTAGTATAAGGGGGGACATCCCAAAATATGCCTAATTCAACCTTAACAAAGGGTTAAACACGCCATTTTGGTACACCTCCCTTTAAACCGGCGGGGGGGGGGGGCAAATTCAACCTTGACAAAGGGAAAAAACACTCCAATGATTGTGTGACACTTCCCTTGTTTACGGGGCCATATGTTCAGAGAAATCTCGGACCCCACAGACAGAGAAGCTTTGACTGCGCCTCCAATCTCGAGGCCTCTCTGCAGCACCTGCTAGTTTAGGGTTTAGGGCTTAGGGTTTAGGGTTTCGGGTTCAGGGTTTAGGGTTTAGGGTTTAGGGTTTCAGTTTAGAAACCTAGAGTTTGGGGTTTAGAAACCTACCTGGAAGTTGAGGATGTACCGCGAAGGGAGCTCGGAGCGGATCGGCAACTACGGCGAGGTGCCGGTCGAACGCTACTGGGGGCTCCCAGGTTTTCCCAGAATTTCGGTTAGGAGGTCCGACCGAAATCTCAGGGTTTCGGGTTTAGGGTTTAGTTTTTAAGGTTTAGGGTTTAGGGCTGGATTCCAGGGCCTTGAATTCCTTGGCTTCGACGTCGGGGGAGTCCTCCGCGTAGCCGGCGGCTTGCCAGAGTTCATCTGCAGAGTGCAGAGGAGGCAGTCGAAAGCCGATAAAAAGGCAACAAAGGCAAACTTCCTAAACCCTAAACTCTAGAACTGTTTTTTCTGCCAATGATGGCGCAAAACCCTAAACCAAACGGCTGAGCAGCGCCCCGCAGGCAACCACAATGGATGCTCTTAGCCTCGCGTGGGTTGTTCTAAACAGTGTGGCTAAAGCGCATGAGGCCCGTCAGCCCTTGACGATCACTCTTCGTTTAAATCTTGCTAGTATGGTTTTCTTACTATTATCACTGCGATTCTTATTATTGCTACTATTGCCATTATTCTTATCATTATCAACAGTCATTACTAGGCTATCCTTATAATCACTTGATGATTCATAATGCCGCAGCTCTGCTTGACACGCCGCAGACGGGCGACGAGCGCCAAGCCGGCGCCGTGGCGCACAGTGAGCTGGTGGCTGCCCCAAGAAAGCCTTCGGGTTTCCTGCGCTGCGGGTTTCAGGATTTTCCGGGTTACTCTTGGGGAGAATCTTGCAATGTGCCTTGTTTTCCTTGTAAGGGGACATATTCATAAATCACTCAGTTTGGGGGTGCTTGGGGCCAAGGAAGGACTCAAAATGGGTGAGCAAGTTCTCAGGTTCAGGTCCACTGAAGTAGGTCTGTCATGCACGACTGTGTGGATACAGTCGTGCAGGGGTTTTTGCGCGAGGTGCGGCTTCGACCTTACAGCAAATCCCTAGGGGGGACACCTGTAATCTCTGACCCTGGGTAAAGTCTTCGAATTAGAAATTGCAGTTCACGACCGACGACTTTTGGGTTCATCACCCTCGGGTTTAGGGTTTAGGGTTTAGGGTTTAGGGATACCCCTTGAATATTTGGATGTATGCCATCGTCATTGGTGGTTCCTCAGTTCCTTGCCGGCTTTGCATACTTCTTACCCGGTCTTGCTTGATAGAGAAGTGTTCAGGACATTTATGGTGAAGGTTCCCAGTACACGAGTTGTGCCCCAAACACCAACCCTAAAAACCCCAAACCCTGAAACCCTCAACCCTAGTCTCTACAGGGCAGCCTCAGTCACCTCAAGCCTTGCCTCCGGCAGGTGCTAAGTAGAGTCCCCGGCCACTGAAAACATGCAGTCTATGAATGTGGTTCTTTCTAGGGAATAGGGAACCAAGTACCTTTCAGGAAGTGCACGGTTCCATTCGGTTCGTTTCTGTTCGCGCAAGGGGCGTTTCCAGGCGGTTCGGGGACTGTTCGGTTCTGTGCGGTTCGCGGTTCTTCGCGGTTCTTCGTCACTTAGTAATCAATGTAGCCACCCACCCCGCCAGCCACCCACCTCTCTGCGTGGCTGTGGCTGGAGGGGTGGGTGGCTGTGGCTGTGTGGCTGGTGGCTGGAGAGGGGCTTGACTTCAAGCCGGACAAACACGCACTTCAAAGGGTGGGTGGCTGGAGGGGAGGGTGGCGATTGGCTGGAGGCAGCAGGGGTGAGAAGCAGGGGTGGGGGGCTGGAGGGGTGGCTGGGTGAGTAGCTGAGGTGTGGGTGGCTGGAGTGAGTGGCTGGAGGGGCGAGGGTGAGAGACACAGAGAGAGAGAGAGAGACAGAGAGAGACAGAGAGAGACAGAGAGAGACAACACAAACACATACATCGGTTCCGGTTCGGCCGGTTCCGGTTTGGATGCGGTTCACCGTTTCCTGCGGTTCGGTTCAGCGGTTCCGGTTCGGTTCCGCGACCTTCTTGCTCTTTTTCAGGGATTCCTGAAGGCAATAAAGGGGCCAAAACAAATCAATATTATCCGTATTCGGAGATAGACCAAGATATCAGATGTCGGTCCATTCCTATTTAAATAGGGTGCCCTCATGACCTTAATTCCCTACGAAACCCCAACCCCCAGACTGAATTCCTTGCTCGTCGTGCCAAACACGGATGCCCCCTCATCACATGTGACACAGGCGCCCTGTCATATGAGTAAGGTGCGATCATCATGGCCTGAACCTAGCTAGGCGTTGTGCCTCGAGGGTTTTCTCCCAATCGCCGAGTTTCAGACCCCGCAGTGCTGTGGCTAAACCCTAAACCCTAAACCCTAAACCCTAAACCCTAAGCCCTAAACCCTAAACCCTAAACCCTAAACCCTAAACCCTAAACCCTAAACCCTAAACCCTAAACCCTAAACCCTAAACCCTAAACCCTAAACCCTAACCCTAAACGCTAAACCCTAGTGAGACTCCCAAGGTTCCCAGCTGGCAGGATGCCATCAGGCGGGAGGGCCTGCATGCTTCGCCAGGGTTTTTTGGGTTTCGGGTTCAGGGCTAGTTTTTTGTCTGCGATATGATTGCGGGACCTTTCGGCTTGGGGTGGTTTTGGGTCGACTCGGTACCACCTTCTTGCGATGAGCTGGGTGGGTATTCTGTCCCCAAAACCGGTTCTCAAAAAGTGAACCTAAACACTTACGCTAAACCGCGAGCCCGTAATCGCAACAGAGCAATGGAGTCGTATCTTAGCTGTATGTACATTCTGTTTGTGTCAGGCATTCATGTAAGATTGCATCTGTCCACGTTTTTTTGAGTTCAAACATCTTGCACTCCACAGCTGCCAGGCCTCTCAGACATCTGGTGCGCTTTCCTGCCATGTCTGCACGGCTCACAGGAGTTACTGGGTTTAGGGTTTAGGTGTTTAGGGTTTAGGGTTTAGGGGGTCACCAGCGTTCCACCGCAAAGAAGGATCTCGGAATCTAGGAGGGGACATTGAGGACCTAAAATGGTGACTTCACGTAAACTTCGAGGCTTCGATTCGAAGCCCTGTAAGACCTGGATGTTCAGCGAATCAAAGTCCTGAACCCTAAGCTAAGAAACCCTTGCACCCCCACACCATGCCCAATCCATTAGCTTCGGGTTCGGGTCTCTTTCTGCCGCCAGTTCATGGGTTCCGCGTCGTCTTTCCAGCGGAATATCAGAATCTTTCGAGCCAGAGTCGCACCCTCTTCAGGACTGAGGGCTTCTGAGGCTCGACGACTCGAGGACCACAGTGCACGAAGGCCCTGCCCGGCAGGGCCGCTCGCCAGGCCTCAGTAGGTTCCGCTGGCTACCGTGAAAAGGCCGGCTAAATCACCCAAAAGCCCCTGACAGTGCCCTACACCCTAGCCCTACACCCTGAACCCAAGAAAGCTGTGCCAGAACTCAGGCAACCTTCTTCGCAAAGGAGATTTCCAAGAGCGGGGCGCGAGTCCCAAGTTGCAAAGTCCTGGATCGGAGCATGGCTGGGTTCGTCGATGTGGGACTACAGTTTATCGCAGGCTTTGGGTCAGGATGCCCTAGACCTTATAGTGTCGCAATGTCGGAATACTTCATTACTAGTAATATTCCCTTTATGGCCCCTGTGGACCACCTAAGAAGCCCCAAGCCGCTTCTAGCGGAGGAGGGGAGCTGGTACTTGGGCACCAGTCAGGGCAGCTAGGGTCCGAACAAAGAGTGGCCGATTGTTGCCGGGATGTGTCCAGCATCAGGGAAGGTTTTTCAGACGCTCCTTCAAGCCCTTACTCTAAGCAGGGTTATGAGTAGGGTAGTTAGAGGTATACTTGGCTGTAAACCTTATTTAGGCGACTTATAACCTCACTTCTATGTACATATGCAACCCCTGAAGCTCCCGGTAAGCTCTTAAAGCAATTAAGCTTTTTTTTCCTGCCCTTCCCGGCACAGCCAAAGTCCTAAGCCTCGAAAGGTTGAGGGTTTACGAAAATAAGGGAACCCAACATAGACCCTCAAATAGTAGGATCCCCTTTTCACGAAGGACCCCAATAAGGTACCCCCTAATATCGTAAACCCCCAAATTGAGGGTTCAGGGTTCTTAGGGCTTGAGGAGGCTTAGGCGTTTTGAAAAGCTTCAGGGCTTGTCCGACTCTGGTGGGATCATTCGAGTGGGGGAGCTGCAGCAGACAGCCGTTGGTGTCCCCGTAAACCCTAAACCCTAAGCCCTAAACCCTAAACCCTAAACCCTAAACCCTGAACCCCTTTTTCCCTTCACAAGTCCCCAGGTGCTTTCACACCAGGAGGTGGTCGAGATTTTCGCCTTCCTTGCGGCGAAGCAGGCAGGAAGCAAAGGGTGACATGGTGGAGGACCGAAATTTTTGGGAACTTGTTCGGGTTCGGGGTTTAGGGTTTAGGGTTTAGGGTTTAGGGTTTAGGGTTTAGGGTTTAGGGTTTAGGGTTCGGAACTTGCTATACTCTAAGGCTCCAATGACCATCCTAGAGAGGGACTGGTACCTCCCAGGAAGGGCAGGTTTCCGGGGTCTCAGATCCTGAGGTTTTGAGGTTTAGTGTTTAAGGTTTAGGGTTTAGGGTTTAGGGTTTAGGGCCCAAGATTCTTAGGGTAGAACCTTGATCTTTCAGATGTGGATTTTGCCAAGGGTCGAATGCCGTAGGCACGGCATCTGTCGCATACTGGTCCTCTAGAACTCAGGGCGGCGAAAAGTCCCCGACCCGAAAAAAGTACATTTCTTTTTTTTTGGGCCGGCCTGCAACTTGAGGTTCTCAGGCTGTCAGCGTAGGTGCTCGGTGGCCGATGCCTGGCTCACCGTGTGGGTGGCTCACGGTCGGAGTACTCCCAACAGCTGTCAGAACGCATCAAATCAACTACTCCTGTATCAGCCAGGAGTTGGGGGGTTTAGGAAAATAGGGTACCCGGTAACCCTCATGTAGACTCGGAGACAGCGCCAAGTGCAAAAGAACCCCCCAAATAGCAGGACTCCCTTATAATAAGGACCTCAGTAGAAACCCTAAGCCCTAAACCCTAAAGCAGAAACCCCAGTTATTTCAAAATTTCGGAAACCCCCCAGATGAGCAAGCCGTAACCCTAAACCCTAAACCCTAGACTTAGGATGAGCAAGCCGCGCCCCAAGAGCAAGTCGAGAAACCATCCGGAAGTGGTCACCCTCAAAGGCATGCTCGACACGATGCCCCAGTATTGGGGTTTAGGGTCTAGCGTCTTGGGTTTAGGGTTTAGAGTTTAGGGTCCGGACATTCAGCATGATGCAGTCGCGTCGAGTGCGAATCTTTGGAGACCATGGTGGGAGCCGTATGACACCTTCCTGCGCTCCCGCTTCAGATGTCGTGCAAGCGAACTATATCCCTCTTGGGAATTATTGTTTGTTTTTGTTTTTACAAAACCCAAGAGGATATCGTAATATTGATTAAGGGGAACTGCAGCTGAAAGCTTAGGGAGCACTTGCAGTATGAAAAAGCACGATTGCCGTGCATGAGCCAGCCCCTTTCTCCGGGACCTGGCAGGGCCAAATGGTAAGTTTCCCCGGTTTGCTAAGTTTGTTCAAAGAGACCCCAGCTCAGAGACACCAGCTTGAGGCTGTTTTTTTGCCCACCAGCAAAACTTATAGGCCCCTAAAAGGATACAGGGTTTGGCCATGCAAGTGCTCGCAATGTCTTTTCAAACCTGACACCCTTGTAAGCTTGTAACCTCACAGACTGCGCCCTGGAAGAATGAAAGCCAGCGCTGGGAGTCTTAATAATGGGGACTTGATATTTTTTTGTGGGGGGGTGGGGGGGTGGGGGTGGGGGGTGTGGGTGGGGGGGGGGGTTGGGGGGGCGTGGGGGGGGGTGGGGGGGGGGGGGGTGGGGGGGGGGTGGGGGGGGGGGTGGTGGGGGGGGGGCGGGTGGGGGGGGGGGGGGGGGGGGGGGGGGGGGGGGGGGGGGGGGGGGGGGGGGGGGGGGGGGGGGGGGGTGTGGGTGGGGGGGGGGGGGGGGGGGGGGGGGGGGGGGGGGGGGGGGGGGGGGGGGGGGGGGGGGGGGGGGGGGGGGGGGGGGGGGGGGGGGGGGGGGGGGGGGGCGGGTGGGGGGGGGGGGGGGGGGGGGGGGGGGGTGGCGGGCGGAGGGAAGGGTGGTGGGGGGGGGGGGGGGTGGGGGGGAGGGGGGTGGGGGGGGGGGGGTGGGGGGCCCTGAGGGGGGGGTGGGGGGCAGGTAGGGGGGGTGGGGGGCGGGGGGGGGGGGGTGTGCAGCTTAAATAGGGTCTATTTGGAAGCTGAGACTCGTTTTTTAAAGAGGAAATAAGGCCCCAAAACGTATACTTATTTACAAGAGACAACTTCCAAATAGACCCTATTATCGTTTCTGGGGGGTCTGGGGCAAGGAATTAAATAATTTAAATAATTTAAATCCGAAAGGGGCGTTCCGGATTTAAATTTTTTTAAATTATTTAATTCTGGGAGGGGGAGGGGGCCTGGGCCTGGCCCCCCCCCCCTTTTCGGATTTAAATTGTTTAAATTATTTAAATTATTTAAATTATTTAAATTGTT